TCCTGACTAAAAGATATCGCATGTGCCAGAGACTTGCTCGCCAGCTTGATGCATAAGCTGTTGAATCTTGGGGGCGGGGAAGGCGGGTAAGGAAGGTTCTAGGAGCTGTAGCCGCTGCACTGAAAAGGCAAGTCATTCCAGGGTAGGGTTTAGGGATTAGCGATCAGGGTTTGTGCTTTTAGGGTGTAGGGATTAGAGTAGGGAGTAGGGCAGTAGGGTTTAGGATTGTAGGGGTTCCGGCATTAGGCATCAAGGTGTAGGGCTTTGGCACGTTTACAGCCCATAGAAAAACCTTTGTCGCTCCCTGTATCTTCGTATACCATTGGGATCTTGGATCGTACCGGTGGGTGAATCCTGGGGACTAGATGATTTGGCTTCGACGCTCCAGGTCATGCAGAGAGGTCGAGAGCAGAGCCAAGTATGAGACACCGATGTGCGCAAACTCCAGGGACGTCTAGGAAATGTTCAAGACCCTGAAGCTGCCAATAGCGCCAGAGGAAGCGGCATCTGCAGGAACATGGTAAGTGTCGTACCATAAAGATACACCCACGCTCCTATATCAGGCGGAACACTTTCAGCAAGTGTTGTTGAGTAGTCTTTATACACATTAGGAAGCTTCACACTCTAAGGAAGATGCTTAGGATCCCAGTACAATTGCCCAGAGACCAGCCCTCCAGAAACATTTGCCGAACAGCAGGACGATGTCTCATAGTTACGAACTGCTTGATAAGGATACAGATAGGGTAGCGGCCATCGAACCTGACTAAAGCTTGAGCCCCGGAATTTTGATTCCGTTTGTGGCCTCGTAAGGGAGGAGCCACTTGAGGTTTTGGCAGGGCCAAGCTTTCCAAGGCACGTGATGGGATGGGTCAAGTATGTTCTGCATATTGGTGTTGAAGATGGGTCTCATGTGCTTTGACGCTGGTCTGTCTGGGTTGCTGCACTCTCCTTCTCATTCGGAGCGTCCTGAGACGCAGTCTTGAGGCAAATGCTCGTACGATCTCGTGCGTCTTTGTGAATTCTTAGCGTCATGCTGCATCTTGCAACCTCAGGGCTACTCCAGCAGCCCCCACGGGGATTTTTCCGTCCTGTATCATTAGCGAGTGCATGAAGCACTGGTCGCGACCGCACTTGCAAAGAGGATCTGCCAGCAGAGAGATGGTGCCAGACTTGTCTTTATGAAAGGCAGCACGCAAAGCCGAGAGATCCAATTTGCAAGCTACGGCAAGATTTGCAAATTCTTTGTAAACCCTTTGAGACGTCAAGAGCCACGGCCTGAGAAGCAGAGTGTGTCACGGCATTTTTGGGCATGGCCGCTCATAATTGTTTTAAAGCTGTCTGGTAGTCTGCACCGGGCAGCGGAGGTGGCAGTAGTTAGTAGTTGATGTGAGAAGGGGAGTGCGTGCATCTTTCAGGGTCTGAGGCCGCATCAATGGACCTGAGCAGTTCAGTGGACATGAACCAAACTATGTTTTTTTTGGGGGGAACGGAATTGAATAGACTTGCTAAGTCTTTCTGATTGAATGCGAGACCAGGGGGGGTAAGCAGGGGCAAGCTTTCCATGGCACATGATGGGATGGAACAAGTATGTCCTGCATGTTGGGACTATTGAAACGTGGCCTCAGGCTACTGTCTGGCTTGATGAAATCTCCTCTCCTTCTCATTCGGAGCTTCCTAAGACAAAGTCTTGAGGCACACGCTCCCTCTTTGCGTTTGCAACCTGATGCTGCGTTCTTGCAACCATTTGCAACCTCAAAGGGCGACTCTAGCAGCCCCCGCCGGGATTTTTCGGTCCTGTATCATCAACGAGTGCATGAAGCAAGTTGCTGCACGACCCCTGATTGGTTTTTGGGGGTGGCTGGGGCTGCGCTGCCCGTGGAGCTTCTTGTCCGCTCATGGACGTCAGGCTCGTGCAGTCAACACTCCGGTGGGTTTTAAGTCCACGTGCCTCTAGGGACACGGTTTCCCACCTGGGGAGTGCGCTTGCAAAGAGGATCTGCCAGCAGAGAGATGGTGCACAGACTTGTCGTTACGAAGGGCAGCGTGTAAACCAAGAGATCGAATTTGCAAGCTACTGAGACAAAACGTGCAAGCGAGTGGAAATCAAGCACGGCCGCTGGTTGTTCCTGGTAGTCATCATTGCCGTGCTCTGACGAAAAGCCGTTTGCCTATGGCCCAGTGGGTAAAGGCCTGTTTTTGCTGTGGCCGCGGGCCGCAGGCAGCACACTGCAAGCCGAGGGCCGCGGTTAACAGGAAGAGTGCATGGGTGGGTGCGAAACCCTGCTCCCCAAAAGTGGTCAGTGGCTACGAAACCCTCATACCCTCAAAGGAGTGGGTGCGTGCCAAACCCCAAACCCTAAAATAAGTGGGTGGGTGCGAAACCCCAAGCCCTATTCAAAGCGAGTGCCTGGGTGGGCGCGAAACCCTGAACCCTAAAAGGAGTGCACCGGTGGGTGTGAAACCATGAACCCGAACAGGAGTCGGTGGCTACCAAACCCTCATACCCTTATGCAAGGAATGGGTGGGTGCGAAACCCTGAACCCTACATAAAAGGAGTGGGTGGGTGCGAAGCCGCAAACTCTACAAGCAATGGGTGGCTGCGAAACCCCAAACCCATGTGGCCGCGGGCCACGGGCCGCTGCACGGGCCGCGCGTAGATGATGTTATTATGGGCCCGATGGAGTCAGACATTCTGTTTTGTTTTCACTGTCTAGATTCAAGTTTAGATGAGTCTCCGACGCTTTCTGAAATCCACAGTCCACAGCTACTCCAAACAGTTCAGACCTGTTCACATCTGTTATATGTGGTTGTGACATTCTGTTGCCAAATCAACATCGAGGATTCCACGCAGAGAGACACGGAAAGAAGACAGCAAAGCCCACATTACGATATTCTGTAGTTGCAATGCTTCAATATGTGATTGTTCGTAATGTGCTTGTGACCAGTCCCTTTTGGGGAAGTTTAGCTGTACCGCTGCGATTTTAGTGAAGTAGGTTTTCCGGCAGTTCCATGCGAATCCAATCGTGCTTGCTCAAGCATCAACTTGAAATCAAAGGTGAAGCAAGTGGCTTGCATCGATGTTGGAGCGGGGCTGTGAAAGCTCGATGGAGTTTCGTTTGGCCTTTTCACAAGCCCAGGAAGACGCAATGCACCACGTTAATCAATGCCAATGCTTGTTTCAACTGTGAGTGTTTTGTATCTTATGAAAGTATAGCAAATTTCGGGTTACATCCATCGACTTATTCACACTCTGAGAATCAACTTTCGGTTTCCAGTTGCGGGCAGGGCCAGTAAAGCGTGTTAGTTGCAGCCGGACGTAAGTTCAGATGAGAATTTGTCGGATTGTTCGAAACGATGCTGCTTTGCTTCATGGTGGGCGATGGTCCACTATGGCTGCACATGGTCAAGGCCATGTTTGCACGCAGGCCGGTGTACTTTCGGGCAGGGGGAATCTGAACATTACAGCTGCTGAAGAAGCGGCTGTGGTTCGTTTTCTGTCAAGTACTGAAGTTGAGCCGAACTTGATTTGGGATACCGCATGTGCTTGAAGCGTGCGCGTTGTAGGTTATTGTTGCACTGACAGTTTACCATGTGTGTTGGAGTCTGCTTGATCTAATATTTATACTGAGAGCAAGCTTAGCGCCATTGGCTCACCCAGCTGGGCCTGTTCGATTTGTTCGGTTGAGCTGTTCATGCAAGCACAACAATTAGTGAGTATGATTGAGTTTGACTGGCGGGATCACAGGCTGGACAACGGCACCTGGCAATTTCCGAACCGCCGCAAAGGCTTGGAACTGAAGCAAGTGCACTGACTGCGGAAAAGGCTCGGTTGTTGAATGTCACTTCGGGACGCGTCTTGGCTGCTGCCTCCCTTTGAGTGAGCCTGTGTTGCTGCCTTTGTAGGAGCTGCCAGCCCCGGTATGATTTATTGATTCACGCAGTGCAGGCTAGGACGATAGCGCAACAGCAGGCTTCCAGTTGGTTGCTGTGAGTGAAAAGACACAGGACCCTTTTGAGGAGGTCTTTTCCAGCACCACTTAAATCTGCTGTTGCTGATTTCTTACTCTTGCGGTCGCGGGGCTTGTGTGCAAAGTCACCTTGCGCGCATCTTCGTGGGGCGGCGCGCATGCAAGGCTGTTGCGAATCCAAGTGTCGGTTCAAGAGGACTAGAGGCGAACGTGGAGCCAACGGCGTGAGGTGGTCTAGGGTCTCCTAGAGCAGGGAGCAAAATTATTGAATTTGGATTTAATCGAAATTCACCGCCGACTGTCTTCAAAACAAAGGCTTACGCGGAGGAGGACGTTTGGGAGGCATTTGTTGGACACGGTGGCTTCAGTTTGAGAGTTTCTTGTGATGGAGCCCGCGGGCCCTACGTAGGGGGTTGCTGCAAGGCTCTCCGTAACAGCTATGAATAACCGGGCTGCTAGGAAGCGTCCTGCATGCATGGGCTGCTGCGTGTCACGTATGGAAGACTTCTGCCGCGCAACATCGCTGTCGCTGTCTCAAGGTTTAGGATGTTTTTGTGTGAATCGAATCAGAATCACAGATGTTCTCGGAGCCTGGCGGCCGGCATGCGGAGGCGCAATGGGCAAGAGAGTCGTTCTGCTTTTGCCGGCAGACCCCCAGGTTGGACGATGCCCAAGCTCATTGCGATCAGCCTCTTGCTCGAAGTCTTACATGGCTACTTCAGGTTGTGCTACTGCTCTGTGCCATACGCAGGCTCCCTTGCAAGCTTCTGGCAATAGCCCAAAAAGCTCTTGTATTATGCATCTCAAGTTTACATGTAATCGCCGGAGCAAGGTGGCTCAGGCCTTGCCCTGTGTCTGCTACCGAAGCAGTTGTGGTTTCCACGTGCATTTGCGAAAGCGTAGCACTTCGGGACAACAAGGGCAACAGGAGTATATGCTTGCTTGCGAGTCAAAGGATGCTGAGGCTGGAGTCTCATGGTTAGGTTCAAGAGAAGGTGCAAGACATGCAGCCGGCTGTCACTTGTGCTGTCGATGGCCGGAATGAAGATGCTTCCTGCCTCCTTTGCCCGTGACTCTGTACCCCTGCACTTGCGTGGCGAGTCTTTGGACCAGGTGAGGCTGGTTTGGCTGGTCCCGATACTGGCCCAGCTGGTTGAGGCCGCACGTAGCAGGGAAAGATGTCGAGACAGAGAAGGGGCAAAGGTCAACAACTTCTCTCTATCCAAAGGTACCAAGAGCTTCGATGCCTAACCCGAGCAGACCGTCACACATGCTCGGTGCAGGCGAACTACTGGGAACAGCTCAGCCCGAGTGGCACGCCGCCATCCGTGCGGTTTCGGCACGGAGACGCCGCGGTGTGGAGCCCGGCTGCGCACGGCTTCTACGTGTTCGGTGGGGAGGATGATAACGGCCCGGGCCCTGAGAGCACGTCAGGGGCAGCACGACAGCAACCTGCGATGCTGCGTTGCGGTGTGAAGGCTGGATCACTTGAGGCAACCTTCTCAACGACTCGTGGATCTACCGGCGTGAGGCCAGTGAGGGCCATCGCGAGCTTTTGGCTCGTCATGGATCAGGCAATGCAAGATCCGACTGCTAAACCCCAGCAACCGAGAAGGTGTAGGCTTAGAAGAAATGCTTAGGAGATGCGCTTTCTTCGTGAAGTACTGGGCCACCTTCCATGTTTCGATTCGATCTACACGCAACCTTCCACAAAGAGATGCTCTGCATCAGACATGTCTCGCAGGTGAACTACTGGGAACAGCTCAGCCCGAGCGGCACGGCGCCATCCGGGCGGACTCACCACACCGCGGTGTGGAGCGCCGCTGCGAACGGCTTCTACGTGTTCGGTGGGTATGATGGCCCGGGCCTGAGAGCACGTCTGGGGGCAGCACGACAGCAACCTGCGATGCTGCGTTGCGGTGCGCGGGCGGGAGTACTGAGGCAACGTTCTTAACGACTTGTGGTTCTACGGGAGTGAGGCCAGTGAGGGCCATCGCGAGCTTTTCGCTCGTCATGGCTCAGGCAATGCAAGATTCGACTGCCAAACTTTTCCCGACCCCGTAACCGAGAAGGTGTAGACTTACAAGACATGCTGAGGAGATGCCCTCTTTTTTTGTGTGAAGTACTGGCAAATCCCAGCACCACGGGGCGTTCTCCTTGGGGCCACCTTCCATGTTTCGTTTCGGCCTACACGCAACTTTCCACGAAGATATGCTCAGCAGCAGACATGTCTCGCAGGTGAACTACTGGGAACAGCTCAGCCCGAACGGCACGGCGCCATCCGTGCGGTATGGCCACACCGCGGTGTGGAGCCCGGCTGCGAACGGCTTCTACGTGTTCGGTGGAAATGGTGGTGGCCCGGGCCTGAGTGAGAGCACGTCTGGGGCAGCACGACAGCAACCTGCGATGCTGCGTTGCGATGTGCGGGTGGAGTCACCGAGGCAGCAGCATCCACGACCAGCTCAATGACTTGTGGTTCTGGCGTGAGGCCAGCGAGGGCCATCGCGAGCTTTTGACTCGTCATGGCTAATACAATGCAAGATTCGACTGCTAAACATTTCCCCGCCCAGTAACCGAAAAGGTGTGGTCTTACAAGAGATGCTCAGGATGCACTTTTTTGTGAAGTACTGGCAAATCCCAGCACCACGGGGCGTTCTCCTTGGGGCCACCTTCCATGTTTCGATTCGATCTACGCGCAATTTTCCACGAAGAGATGCTCAGCAGCAGACATGTCTCGCAGGCAAACAGCAGCTGGGAACAGCTCAGCCCGGACGGCACGGCGCCATCGGCGCGGCGTTTGCACACCGCGGTGTGGAGCGCCGCTGCGAACGGCTTCTACGTGTTCGGTGGGTTTGATGATGGTGGCCCGGGCCTGAGAGCACGTCTGGGGGCAGCACGACAGCAACCTGCGATGCTGCGTTGCGGTGCGCGGGCGGGAGTACTGAGGCAACGTTCTTAACGACTTGTGGTTCTACGGGAGTGAGGCCAGTGAGGGCCATCGCGAGCTTTTGGCTCGTCATGGCTCATGCAATGCAAGATTCGGGTGCTGAACATTTCCCGACCCCGTAACCGAGAAGGTGTAGACTTACAAGACATGCTGAGGAGATGCCCTCTTTTTTTGTGTGAAGTACTGGCAAATCCCAGCACCACGGGGCGTTCTCCTTGGGGCCACCTTCCATGTTTCGTTTCGGCCTACACGCAACTTTCCACGAAGATATGCTCAGCAGCAGACATGTCTCGCAGGTGAACTACTGGGAACAGCTCAGCCCGAGCGGCCCATCCGTGCGGTTTGGCCACACCGCGGTGTGGAGCCCGGCTGCGAACGGCTTCTACGTGTTCGGTGGAACTGGTGGCCCGGGCCCTGAGAGCACGTCTGGGGCAGCACCACAGCGGGCTGCGTTGCGGTGGGGGCATCACTGAGGCAACCTTCTCAACGACTTATGGTTCTACGGGCGTGAGGCCAGCGAGGGCCATCGCGAGCTTTTGGCTCGTCATGGCTCATGCAATGCAAGATTCGGGTGCTGAACATTTCCCCACCCAGTAACCGAAAAGGTGTGGTCTTACAAGAGATGCTGAGGATGCACTTTATTGTGAAGTACTGGCAAATCCCAGCACCTCAGGGCGTTCTCCTTGGGCCACCTTCCATGTTTCGATTCGGTCTACACGCAACTTTCCACGAAGAGATGCTCAGCATCAAGCATGTCTCGCAGGTGAACTACTGGGAACAGCTCAGCCCGAGCGGCGCGCCATCCGGGCGTTGCTTTCACAGCGCAGTGTGGAGCCCGGCTGCGAACGGCTTCTACGTGTTCGGTGGAACTGATGGCCCGGGCCCTGAGAGCACGTCTGGGGCAGCACGACAGCAACCTGCGATGCTGCGTTGCGGTGTGCGGGCGGGATCACTGAGGCAACGCTCGCAACGACTTGTGGTTCTACGGGCGTGAGGCCAGTGAAGACCATGGCGAGCTTTTGGCTCGTCATGGCTAATGCAATGCAAGATTCGAGTGCAAGACACTTCCCGACTCAGTAACCGAACAGGTGTAGAGTAGCACACGTGTGTGCGAAGTAACAACCGTGAACGGCGTAGCTGCCTTTAGCACTCTGGCTCGACGTATCTTCGACGTCTAAGCTTTTAAACTAGATCCTCCTGTTGCCTTCGGCGATCATGGCCGCTCTCTCTCTCTCTCTCTCTCCAGCGGCGGTGGCAGATCAGCTTGGTGAGGTGCTGGCGGCGGCTCGACGGATGGGATGGGCACCCATGCTCTGCCTCCTCTCGACGGATCAGATCGCTGACCCCAACGACGCCACGGGGCGGCGCAATGCTTGGAGGGCTATGTCAGCGGGTGGGCGACTGAGGAGCTTCAACCGTTCCCACCTATCGTCGGCGGCCCGGCCAACAACACATCTACCGACCACTACGGCGGTGCCCGCTTCGGCGGATGGCAACGGCGGCACCGGAGGCCTTGCAAATATCCCGCAGGCCGGTGAGGACGACGAAGACGACACCAGCCAGACGGCGGTCGCTGCCCCGAGCACAAGCGGCGCCGCCCTTTGCTACCTCTTCTATGCCGACGTCCTCCATGCCGGACAAGCCGGCAGTCACACAGATTCAACCTGCTGCAGCGGATCAACTACCGTAATACCTACTCGGACGCGGCGAACCTGTTCAAGGATCTCACCGACGGCTTCGACATGTGATCTGCACTCTGCGCCCTGGCCCAGGATGGCGCAAACGGTCCGACGATATAGGTACCCGTTCCCGGCGTCCATGGACGCGCTGAGGCAGGTCAATGCCGACTACGTTCGGCGAAAGGTGGCGGCTCCGCACGTCGGCGAGCACACAGAGCCCCTCATCAACGACGAGGTCAGGCTAGGCCGGGTGATCGGGCCAGCCAGGCCGCCGGCGTGGCTGAAGGTCAAGGCGGTCGACGGCGCCACACACCTGGTCGAGCTTTGCCATCCTCCAGATCGACGGAAACGGCGAGGTCAAGATCCACCGTGGGAAGATTTTGGCGGCGATCGGCCACAATTCGACGATCACAGCCGACGATCTACCGACGCATCACTTCATCTCCGCCTTTGTGGACGTGGCCAGGCGCATGGCGGCGGACTGTAGGATTTGAACCTGCGCGCCGAGCGGCGAAATGCAGCGCAGACATCCACACCACGAAGAAAAGAGTCGTCCAGTTTTGGCATCTGAGCTAAGGGTGCGGCGGTTGTTGACTTAAAAGAAATGCTGAGGAGGCGTTTTTTTGTGAAATGTTGGCAAAGCCCATCCACAGTCTGTTGGTTGCGTTTGGAACGGATTTGGATCCGGCAGCGTATAAACACCAGACCTGAGGGGCAGGTGTTCTTTCTTCAAAGAAAGTCACGCCACTGCTGTTGTTGATGTCTGGCAAATCTTCAAGCCAGGCCACCAGCAGGGCCACTGCCACGACCAGCAGCAGCACAGTCACTGCGACTACGACCAGCAGCACTGCCACTGCCACTATCAGCAGCAGCTCGGCCACTGCCACGAGCGCCAGCAGCACTGCTACTGCCACTACCAGCAGCAGCACTGCCACTGCCACGAGCAGCTCTGCCACTGCCACTACCAGCAGCAGCACGGCCACTGCCACGACCACCAGCAGCACTGCCACTGCCACTATCAGCAGCAGCTCGGCCACTGCCACGACCGCCAGCAGCACTGCTACTGCCACTACCAGCAGCAGCACTGCCACTGCCACGAGCAGCTCTGCCACTGCCACTACCAGCAGCAGCACGGCCACTGCCACGACCACCAGCAGCACTGCCACTGCCACTATCAGCAGCAGCTCGGCCACTGCCACGACCGCCAGCAGCACTGCTACTGCCACTACCAGCAGCAGCACTGCCACTGCCACGAGCAGCTCTGCCACTGCCACTATCAGCAGCAGCTCGGCCGGAGCGCTGTATAAGACAATACTTTCTGGGACCAGGGTGGTCTGGTTTTCTGATTTTGATAGCGGCTGGTTTATGGGAATATTTAATCTGGGATGGGTCAGGGTAGTCTGGTTTTCTTAAGGCCGTTTCTTATATGGCTATGTCCAGGGCCCGTTCCAGAACCCGCCTAAATAAGAAAACGCGACTCTGGCATTTTCTTATTCTCCTTCGTTCCAGAACCCACCTAAATAAGAAAACGAGCCTCTGGCATGTTCTTATTCTCCTTCGTTCCAGAACCCACCTAAATAAGAAAACGAGACTCTGGCATTTTCTTATTCTCCTTCGTTCCAGAACCCACCTAAATAAGAAAACGAGACTCTGGCATTTTCTTATTCTCCTTCGTTCCAGAACCCACCTAAATAAGAAAACGAGACTCTGGCATTTTCTTATTCTCCTTCGTTCCAGAACCCACCTAAATAAGAAAACGAGACTCTGGCATTTTCTTATTCTCCTTCGTTCCAGAACCCACCTAAATAAGAAAACGAGACTCTGGCATTTTCTTATTCTCCTTCGTTCCAGAACCCACCTAAATAAGAAAACGAGACTCTGGCATTTTCTTATTCTCCTTCGTTCCAGAACCCACCTAAATAAGAAAACGAGACTCTGGCATTTTCTTATTCTCCTTCGTTCCAGAGCCCAGCCAAAGACCACGAGGATGCCTACGATCCCTGAAAGCCGTGCTTGGAAGCCTTGGAGGGGAAACTTCAGCAGGGTCAAGGCACGAAGTGCCTAGGACACCCCAAGTACTAGGGCTAGGATGTTAAGCAAAGGCCCCTGATGTATGGAACCCCTCATACAGCACAGGCCAAGTTTGGGGGCACTAGTATGGCAGAATGAAATAAGAAAATAAGACTCGCAGACGAGGGTACCCTGGTTTTCTTATTTTAACAGTGCTTGGTATTTCATGTAGAACCCTATCAATCCCAAAATCCAGAGTCTCATTTTCTTAATCCAATGTTTTCTTAAGTAGTGCTGTTGCTGCACCTTAAGTTGTAATTAAGTACAGTATCAAGCGAGGTTTCAGTAACCTGCCCCTCCAAGTGTTTCTTGACATAGAATGCCTGAGGCAGCCCTGAGGTCGCTGCGGAGGTAAGCCTGGCAGTAGAGTCCATGGCCAGCGCACAGGCAGCATCTGAAGTTTTGCAAGTTAGCAAAGTTTGGGGAGGAGGAAGTTCACGGCCTGTGCATTCCCTCCTATTCTCTCGCAACACTGCCAGTCTGACTCCGTCAAGCCTCTCTTCTCGGAAAACCTGGCCAGCGGGCAAGTTTTGAAACGTGTCAGCCAGGACCGGGCAGGGTTCTCCGAGCTTTTTGCTATTTGTTGAAGTGCAGTCAACCTGGCAAGCAGTGAAGTTCGAGGATGCAGAAGGCCGATCGATCGTCAACATCGCATTGAAGGACAGCGGGTCGGGCCCATCGCCAAAGCAGCATGGACATAGCTACATGATACATGTGTTGCAAGGCGGGGGAAGACAACATGATGGTGGAAATCGAAGGAGTTTCCATCCGCTTTCCAGCGCTTTGGCTGAGTCTCTCATCATGCTTCTGCTTCTGTTCCTTTCGTCGATGGCCGACGGCTGAAGGATTTGGTGATCAGCCCAGGCATCCCTGGTATCTCAACTCCAGGGTGAGGTCGTGGTTGTCAGCCTCGTGAAGGTGACCCATGGCATGCTGGCCCCTCGTCGAAAGAGCTTTTGAGCTTCTGATGAAGCCCAGAGAGAAGGCGCTGCTACGAGCCCAGAAGAGTACGTGCAAAGAAGATGGCACGCCGCATGATGCCTAGCTGCTGGAGCGTTCGGTGCCGCCAGGGCGACTGTTGAGTGCTGTCATTTGGGGCCTTGATAGCCTATGCTCAAGGGGACCATAGGGCCCCGAGTGCCGAGGCGGAGCTCATCCAGGCCTCTGACGAGCTGAGTGGCATAGTGCAACTCACTGACCCTGTGTGCCATGGCGCAGGGGGGGGGTCCTAGCGGTCCTGGCGTCACCGTTACTACTGGGACGCTGATTCAAGCCCTGGGACGTAATCTAATTACCTTGAACTGGTATCGTGCCGACCATCTATGTTGTTTCGGTGCACTTTCACTACATCGTCAAGGGGGGAGTCCTGGTGTGGCCACCGGGGGGATGTAGGACCTCGGCGTGATTTGTCAAGCTGGGATGTTGCCGTGCCCAGGAGTTTGAAAGTCTTCGTTGACGCTGGCCGGTTGTCCCAAACGGAACCCTTGGAGTGGCCTGGCCTGAAGCACGGGGCCTTTTTCGCTCTCAGCTGATCTCAGTTGTGTTGCTTGCTTTCGGGGTCCTTGCATCCACAAAAGAAGTACAGACTCTCCAGTGCACATTGGCAAAGGCACCCAAAATTAACCCATGTATTCGACATTCGGGTGAGGTATGTCGTTTGTTGGCCTTGGTGGCTTTGCAATCGGGGGTGTAAAATACAAAGAGACCAGACACGCCTAGTAGGATTGAAACCTGTAGGCAAAGCCGCACATAGTCAGATAGTCCTTGTGTTCAGAGGTTGACCATGCCCCTGGCAAGCGCCAGCGACCCCTTGGCACAGAAGGCGTGGCAGGGTCGTGCCACACTTCGGCCTCGATATTCATTCCAGGGAGATTGTGCAGGTTGCTTAGGTTCTAACAAAGTTGTGCAGGGGTTTCCAGGTAGGAGAATGGGTTTTTAAGGTTTGTATGGGGGTCAGATGGTGAGGGGTATATCAAACCTCTCTGCACGCGGAGGCCTGCGCTGTCTGGAACCAGACAATCAATGGCTGGAGTGTTGGATTTGATGGAACCTGCTCGACGTGGCTGTGCCCCGTCTTTACCATCGCAAACCTCAGTAACTAGAAGACAAGTTGCCCGAAAGCATCAGTTGCCAAGAGTTTTGCGCTACGTAAAGTGATAGAGTCAAAAAGATAAAGTCATAGAATCCCCTTTGCATAGAGCCACAGAGTCATCGAGTGAAGTGCATATAGTCATCAAGTACATAATAATGCCGCAATCGATGTATTTGACTGTATGTACTTCACTCTATGTACTTCGCTCTGCGCACTTCAGTCGATGTTGTCAGAGCTCTCGAATCAGTCCATAAACTCAGGCACCTGAAGTCAACTGCATACACTGAAGTGCATAGAGTCAAGTGCATAGCGCAGTGCATAGAGTCAAGTACATAGAGTCGTGTAGTCCAGCGCATCTATGCATAGTGTTTTCCAGATTGGATACAGAATCGAATCTTTTGTACAAGCTTTAGTACTGCTAAGGTCAAGTTTCCGGTTCAAGGGTCCAAAAACCTCAAGAGTTTATTGGATGATTGAAATACACGAAAATCTCGAGATGTATTGGTTACTATTGGTGAACCAATGCCTATAAACCCTAAACCCTAAGGCCTAAGCCCTTAAGCAATAAGCCTTAAACCCTAAGCCTTAAACCCTCAGCCCGAAACCTGAAACCCTAAAGAGTCAAAGAGTCAAGTGTACATGTATACATAGAGTCATATTCGTCTAGTCCAGTCCAGTGCATAGAGTCAAGTACATGAATCAGGTACACAGGTACAGAGAGGCCTAGAGTCAAGTACATCTTCACTCTGTGTACTATGTTCTTGACTCTCTGTACTTCACTCTATGTACTATGCACGTAACTCGATGCACTTCACTCTGTGTACTTCTCTCCCGAGCACCGCAAAGCACCGCAAAAGTCGTAACTTTCCCAATGCCTATAAACCCTAAACCTTAAGCCCTGAACCCTTAAGCAATAAACCCTGAGCCATGAGCCCTCAGCCGTCAACCCTAAACCCTAAAGAGTCAAAGAGCCAAGTATACATGTACATAGAGTCATATTAGTCTAGTCCAGTTACCAATGCCTATACACCCTAAACCTTTAGCCCTAAACCCTTAAGCAATAAACGCTAAACCCTAAGCTTTAAACCCTCAGCTCTAAACCTTAAACCCTAAAGAGTCATAGAGTCAAGTATACATGTATACATAGAGTCATATTAGTCTAGTCCAGTCCAGTGCATAGTGTCAAGTACATAAGTCAGGTACACAGGTACATAGAATCATAGCGTCACTTCACTCTATGTACTATGCACTTGACTCTCTGTACTTCACTCTATGTACTATGCACGTAACTCGATAACTCGATGTACTTCACTCACTCTATGTACTACGCACGTAACTCTATGCACTTCACTCTATGTACATCTCTCCCGAGCACCGCAAAGCACCGCAAAAGTAGTAACTTTCCCACACGTACACTCGATCACACGAATCCCTGGGAAGGGTTGCGCGCGGCGCCCAAAAGTTGTAACTTTCCTACACGTTCGTGAGCTCGACCACACGAATCCCTGTGAAGGGTTGCGAATGGCGCCAAAGAGCGCCGAAAAGTAGTAACTTTCCCACACGTTTTGGCACTCGATACGAGTGGACAAGGCAAGGTTGTGTAACTTTCCCACACGTTTCAACCCTCGACCACGCTAATCCCTGTGAAGGGTTGCGCGTGGCGCCTAAGAGTTGTCACTTTCCCACACGTTTGGGGATTCGACCACGCCAATCCCTGTGAAGGGTTGCGCGTGGCGCCTAAGAGTTGTCATTTTCCCACACGTTTGGGCATTCGACCACGCCAATCCCCGTGAAGGGTTGCATTCCCGATCGATGACGATGGTGCCACCCTGGCTTCAAAAAGAGAGATTATATACCGAGATGTAGATAAGTCGGATAGAGTCAAAAGCACAGAGTCATGGAGTCACAGAGTCAGAGTGTCATAGAGTAGAGTCATAGAGTCATAGAGAGTGTCGTAGAGTCAGAGAGTCAGAGTGTCAGAGTGAGATAGAGTCACAGAGTCATCTATGCACCATGCACTTGACTCGATGTAGTTCACCCTATGCACTATGCACTTCACGCTATGCCCTATGCACATTACTCGATGCACTTCCCTCTATATACTTCACTCTATGTACTATGCACTTCACTCTATGCACTATGCACTTCACTCGATGTACTTCACTCTATGTACTTCTTTCAAGGGCTTCGCACGGAAGAACCCTTCGCGATGCTTTCGGGAAAAAAACACAGCATGCTTTGTGAGAGAGAGGGAGAGTGATACTTGCTGAGGTCATCGATGCCAGAGGACGGCCGCAGGTGGGGGCTGGGACTGGGTGCAGAACGGCCTTAAGCTTGACTCCAGCCCTCAGCCCAGCTCAGCCCTGCCACTGAAGGCTGATGGCCGCACAGCAGCCATCCCTCTTCAGTGTCATCGCCATGCCAAGCTCCAGCGCATCAGAAAATGCTCCAGGCGCCGAGCAGCCGCAGGCGGCTTGCACGCATCTGGTGCGCTTTGGAGTCACTTTGGCCATGTCCATTCCACGGCGACGATCCACTCCCCAAAGGTCGTGTGGCCCATCATCTTGCGGGAGGCTCAGAGCCTCAGAGACTGAAGTTGTCCGCCCAATCACCCAAAAGGCGGGCCGCAAACTGTTTCTAAGCAATCAGCCGCTGAGAGAAATCCTCAAGCCCAGTCAGTGACTGGATCTGGCTGCTCAGGCCTCCTGACATGTAGAGTGAGTCTGCTGGCTGGTTCCAGCCCAGGGGAAGTCTGCCCTTATTAACGTCCGAAAAGGTGCTTGTGACCTGTGCACTGGGTCTGCGTGGCAGGGGCATGAGGGAGGATCGGGATTTCCCGGCGTAGGATTTGAGAGTAAAGGTGCCCTTAAGTTGAAAGCCCTGCACAACAACTAGAAGACGATAGACCAGAGTACAGCACGATGACAACACCCAAACGCTTGCCAAGTCATAAGCGCGACAACGCGATTACTGTAAGTGTCATCTCAGCAGATGGTGTTTATGACTTGTCACATGACAGACCAAGTTGGGAAGCAAGCATCAAACCCTAAAGCCCTACTAGCCTACAACTCGAAAGCCCGCAAGCCGTAAACCCTAAACCCTATTGTTAAAGCAACATCTGGGCCTGCACCGGAGGTGAATCAGGAACAGGAGGAGGAGGAGGAGGAGGTGGAGGGATTGGAGGTGGAAGCGGAGGCGGCAGCAGGGGAGGAGAAAGGGGAGCCGAAGGCGTGAGGGAGAATCGCAGAGCCAGGTCCCCGATATTCGGGGCGGTGCACGTTTCTTGTTGCCGATTCGCCCCTCACCCGCCTGCACCATAAGGTGTTCGACCTCGGGCCTTCTTTGCCTGGTGCTGGGCTTCGGTCTGTTCAAGCGGTTCATGAATAAGTGCGGCAGAGTCTCGGGCAGCACTTGTTTATTTCATGTGCCAGCTTAGCTTGGCTGAACTAATCGAAAAGCACATGCATGCAGACTCCGGGGGAAGACTGCCGTTGGGATTTCATATCTTCAGCTTGCTGTCCGAGCTATGACAGTCCTGCTGCTTATGACGGACAAGGTCCGAACAAGATGGGTGAGGACAAAGCTGCTTGCACCCAGGATTTGCAGGACATGCGCAGGGTTCGCACGTATATAGTCGCATGGTAGACACCCTTTGTTGAGGAACGTGGGTTTAATTTTATTTTGTCCAGACGTGTTACGGCGGCAGCAGTCGTGTAGCACAACCATCGTGAACTGCACAGGTGCTGTGTGTGCCTGCCTTCGCGGGGCCCTAGAAGTACGGGTCGTGCCATGCCATTTGGCAGGCCGAAAGCCTAAGCCCGAAGCGAGTGAGCAAGTCCAGCCTCAACCCTGACTGAACAGCATATGTTGTGCTCCTTGGCAGGACATTGCCGTCAGTAAGCAGACACAAGATGAGGATGAACATGCACATCCTCCTCCTCCTCCTGCGAGCCCACCACCTCATGAGCCCCGGCCCAGTGGACTCAGTTTGTGCGAAACAAAAGGCTTACAGGGAGCCAGAGTGAAATGGTGACCATCAAAGTTTGATGCATGGATGCAGTAGGTACTCAGGAGAGGGCGGGAGGGTCCTTATGGGCAGGAGATTTAATCTTAGAGTCCCATGCATCGGTGTATGTGAGAAGGCGATGAGCAACTGACGCTGCCGCTGCAAAACACAGTCTTGCAACTCAGTGTAGGCTTTTTGGGCCGCAATGAAAGCTGCATCACCACGCGAATTTGCAGCATGTTTGCCAGCAAGCGCAGTGCAGCGATAGAGACTGTTGCGCTTGGGACTTTCGGGCAGCTCAATCGCTGCATCCAAGGCGGAGCCTGGTGTTGCAAGGACTAAGCAGGCCGGACAAGTGGCAGAGGACGGAAAGTACGTGACGACATGATTGCTGACCTATCACCTTTACAAGTGTTGAGACAGTTGGAGGTAATCCTAGCTCACTGCCGCATGTTGGACACACGTTTAAGGCATCACATGTTTGTTAAATTCGGTTGGGCATTGCTCGTGCTGGAAGGCGAAGAAGAGGTTGCAAGATGCAATGGCATCCGGGGACCTTGCAGAGCTGAAGGCAGCCATTGCTGCGGCCAAGACAGTCGGTGTCTCGCTCGAGCATCGGGAGAGAGCTCTCGAAGTCCAGGAGAAACTATTAGAAGCCCAGGCTGACATCCCAGGGTCCATTCCCAGCCCAAGCTATGGCAGTCTGATTGACGCGTCTCGCCCAACGCCCATCGGGGTCCAAATATGTCAAGCTTGCGAGAAGATCTACGACCTCCTGCACGAGCCCGAGAGGTCCAACGGAGATGATGAGTTGGAAGACTTGTGCCGCACGGCCAGGCTGGAAACAGCATCACCGGACCTGAAGAGCAGCATCTTCGGCCTCATGCGACCGGAGGAGATCAAGAGCTTCTTGCAAGCGCCTGATCACCAGTTCTGGCAGCATATCAAGCAGAACACAGAGGAGTTCATCCAGCTGCTGGACGATCCAGGGGCTGCTGTGCCCTATTCAGTCGACGAGATGACTCCAGAGGCAAAGAATGCAAGGGTGCGAAGTGTTCGGCCAGTTGTGATGGATCAATCCGTCAGGGAACCGGCCACAAACACGCCATTCGGCCACACAGGCTACCAAAAGTTCCTGACCCTGCAAATTGTCAAGCGCATGGGCTTCAAGGACATAGCGATCAGTGGCCAGTACTATGGGGCTTCCTACACTCCAGAAACACAAGTTCTCGAGTGGATGCAGGTCAGAGGAGAACCGATGGATGGCATGATTGTCATGTTCGCACCAGGCAAGGGTGATCGAGAGGCTGGAATCAAAGCCATCAAGGACTTCGGCATCCCCAATGCCTTCCTCGACTTGACCATGAAAGCCAGTGTGCGCTTCAAGCAGTCTGATTTCGTATCCTCAGTGTTGGAGACTGTGGACATCTTGGATGAAATCTTCGCTGGCATGGGCTTCGAGCCAAACCCTTGGCGCACTGAGGAGAAGGTCAATTGCGACCCAGGCAAAGGGGAGATCAGCTTGAACCTGGTAGATCTGATGGAGTTTCTCGACGTGAAACCTGACGGTTCCATGGATGACAAGAAAAAGTCACAAGCAGAGGATGCTTTTCGCACGTGGAAGAAATCAGACGCCTTTAGACGTCGAGTTGTGGGGATTCTGACAGAAGAAGGGAGAGGCGTGGCCAACTACAAGGACTACGGTGCCCTGTCAAGGTGGCTGCGCGGGCACTTCCCACGAGATGAGGAATACCGAATCTTAGTCCATGCCCATGGTGGTGATGGCAACACCCAGGACGCTGCTAGCGTCGAGGCGGTGCTGGAAGGAGCCAATGGGGTGTGGGCGGCAGTCATTCCACAAGCTGCTCAGTCTGGGCACAACTCCAGCATGGTCTTCCTTGACAACATGGTACAGATGGGCAACGGGCATGTTTTGGAAGACTTCTGGCTCCATCAGGGTGCGCAATGTGCCCGTCACATCTACTACCTGAACTTCAACAGCTATACCATCCCGGACGATTGTCCCATCTGGGGAGCTAGAGTTGATCAGCTGTTGCACACCGCTTTCAGCACGGTTTCAGGAGAGGAGTGGCGGCAGAGACGAGGCAAATATTATGATATTTGGGGAGGTGATGCCACTCGATTTGGAATTTAGAAGCATTCACGCGCAGTTCTGTCTCAATGCCCTTCTCCCCACATTACATGCATGATCAACAGTTGTTTGCCTTTTCTCCGTCAATTTCTTCTGTTTGTTGATCTTTCGGTTTAGTACTTTCAACTCCCACTGTACTTCACTGCTTGATGAGTTTGGTCGCAAGGCAAGAGCGCAGATGGATCGAATGACCAAAGCCACAGAGCTGCAACACGAAGTGGCGATGTGCCGGAGCCTATCCCGCGGAGGAAACTACCGGATCTCTCCACTCGTGTCCGATGTCGAGACATGGCGGAAGCGCATTGTTGAGCTCGGAGTGGCTCGGCCGCGTTCGGTTGACCATGTGTGGGTTGGAAAGATGATCCGTTGTGTTTTTCATTACAAGAAGATGTGCAGTGACATGGTTGCATGAATTCGGGTGCGTTTTGGTTCGTTTGAACCTTTGTCAATGGCCTAACTTTCCTTCGCCAATGTGAAGCTGAGGCAGCCGTGGTGGGACCTCGGGGACGAGCAGGAGATCACGTGAAAGAAGTTCGAGACCTTGGTTTCGCCCTGATGAACGCGGGTATTCGAGCAAACATGAACGAGCAAGCCACCCTGAAGCAGCTCTGGAACATCGCAACGCGCAACAAGACAGAGAACATCAGGCCATTTTGGCAAATTTTCCATGAAGTTTCTGAATTTTTGTAAGCCAAAAATGACCACTTTCTCCATATGCACTTTCCTAGTTCTTGCTGCCAGGTGTGACCAGGTTGCCGGATACTTGAAAGCTCAACAGCACCAAGGAGAGAAGGAGTGAGTAGCTGTGGAGAGAGCGAGGGGCCTCCCAGTGCCAAAGGCAAACCATGTCAAAAGGATGAACAAGGCTTGTGCAGATATCCTACGGGCTCTTGACACACGTTTATTGCATACATCGTTAGGTTTTCTCGAAAAGTCAGAGGTTTGCTAAAGGCTTGTGGGTCAGCTTTGATGTAGAAGCTGTTGAATCGTGGGGGTGGGAGGAAGGATCTACCGTAATATATTACAGCATACTACAATATACAATAATTGTATACTAGTATATCCATAATATACCACGGTTCCAGGAGCTGCAGCCGCTCCGCTGAAAAGTCGAGTCATTCCAGACCCCCCGCAGATGCAGCAGATTCCGTTTACAGCCAATAGGGAAACATTTGTCATTCCCTGTATCACTCCAAGCATCAATCCTCGTATACTGTTCAAAACCTCGGATCGTGCCGGGCACCGGAGGTGGCAGTAGTTGATGTGAGAAGGGGAGTGCTGTTGCCATTACCCATCAAAGTCCCACAGGATGAATGCGCGTTTGCAGATATCCTACGCGTTCTTCAAGCAAGGCTTCTGCATACAAGCTTTTCTTGAACAAGAGATAGAGGATGTGCCAGAGACTTGCGGGGAAGAGGGTCAGGATGGTTCTAGGAGCTGTAGCCGCTGCACTGAAAAGCAAATCATTCCGGGGCAGGGAATAGGGATTAGGGATAAGGGTTTGTGGGTTTAGGGTGTAGGGATCAGAGTGCGGGTTAGGGTTTAGTTTAGGGATTAGGCATTAGAGTCTAGGATTGCAGGGTTTAGTTGTCGCTCCCTGTATCACTCTAAGGAGCAATCTTCGTATTCCATCTTGGATCGTAGCGGTGGGTGAACCCTGGGGAGTAAATGATCTGGCTTCGAGGCTCCACGTCATGCAGAGAGGTCCATAGCAGAAAAGTTTATGGGGCACCAAGTTGCACCATTTCCAGGATGTCTAGGAATGTTCAAGACCCTCAGGCTGCCAATAGCGCCAGAGGAAGCGGCATCGCGTACCATCAAGACACCCTCGCTCCTATATCAGGCGGAACACTTTCAGCAATTGTTGTCGAGTAGTCTTCAAAACACTTCGAAGCTTCGCACCCTCCGGAAGAGGCGTAGGATCTAACACAACTGCCCATAGACCGGCCCTCTAGCAACATTTCCCGAACACCAGGACGTCTCATAGTTAGGATCCAGATAGGGTAGCGGCCATGGTCATATCCAGATTAAAGCTTGAGCCCCAGAGTTTTGATTCGGTTTCTGGCTTCGTAAGGGAGGAGAGGAGGGAAAGGTCGGGTAGGGATGGTATTCAGGGTCTGAGGCCGCATCAAAGGACTTGGGTCTTTTGAAAGAACTCGCGACCAGCGTGAGGTTTAAGCAGGGCAAGCTTTCCATGGTACGTGATGATGGAACAAGTAACTCATTGAACCTAGCTCTCATGTGCTTTCACGCTGTTCTGTCTTTGCTGCACTCTCCTTCTCACTCGGAGCGTCCTAAGGCGCACTCTTGAGCGAAATGCTCGCTTTTTGAGTTTGCAAGAAGTCATGCTGCATTCTTGCAACCTCAAAGCGCGACTCCAGCAGCCCCTGCGGGGATTTTTCCGTCCTGTATCATCAATGAGTGCATGAAGCAGTGGTCGTGACCGCACTTGCAAAGAGGATCTGTCAGCAGAGAGATGGTGCCCAGACTTGTCTTTCTGAAAGGCAGCACGCAAAGCCCAGAGATCCAACTTGCAAGCTACCGCAAGATTTGCGAATTCTTTGTAAACCCTTTAAGACGTCAAGAGCCACGGCCTGAGAAGCAGAGTGTCATGGCATTTTTGGGCATGGCCGCTCATAATTGTTTTGAAGCTGTCCGGTAGTCTGCACCGGGCAGCGGAGGTGGCAGTAGTTAGTGGTCGATGTGAGAAGGGGAGTGCGTGCGTTATTCAGGGTCTGAGGCCGCATCAATGGACCTGAGCAGTTCAGTGGACATGAGCCAAACTCTGTTTTTTTTTTTTGGGGGGGGGGCGGAATTGAATAGACTTGCTAAGTCTTTCTGATTGAATGCGCGACCAGGGCTAAGCAGGGGCAAGATTTCCATGGCACATGATGGGATGGAACAAGTATGTCCTGCATGTTGAAACTATTGAAACGTGGCCTCAGGCTACTGTCTGGCTTGCTGCATTCTCCTTTTCATTCGGAGCTTCCTAAGACAAAGTCTTGAGGCAATCGCTCCCTCTTTGCGTTTGCAAGAAGTCATGCTGCGTTCTTGCATCCTCAAAGGGCGACTCTAGCAGCCCCCGGCCGGGATTGTTCGGTCCTGTATCATCAACGAGTGCATGAAGCAAGTTGCTGCACGACCCCTGATTGGCTTTTGGGGGTGGCTGGGGCTGCACTGCCCGTGGAGCTTCTTGCCCGCTCATGGACGCCAGACTCACACAGTCAGCACTCCGGTGGGTTTTAGTCCACGTGCCTCCAGGGACACGGATTCCCACCTGGGGAGTGCGCTTGCAAAGAGGATCTTCCGGCAGAGAGGTGGTGCCCAGACTTGTGGCTATGAAAGGCAGCGTGTAAACGAGAGATCCAACTTGCAAGCTATCGAAGCCTTTGAGACGAAATGCGCAAGCGAGTGGAAATCAAGAGCCAAGCCCTGAGTCTTGGGCACGGCCGCTGATCATTCATGGTAGTCATCATTACCGTGCTCTGAGGAAAAGCCGCTTGCCTACGGCCCAATGGGTAAATTCTTTTTTTGCGGTGGCCGCGGGCGTGGCCGCGGTCGTGGCCGCAGGCCACAGGCAGCACGCGGGCCGCGGGCGCGGGCCGCGGGCAACAGGAACCCCAAACCTGTGCCAAACTCGGAACCCTGACAGGAGTGGGTGGCTGCGAAACCCCAAACCCTAAAAGGAGTGCATGGGTGGGTGCGAAACCCTGAACCCCAAAAGGGGTCCCTAAACCCTAAAATGACTGGGTGGGTGCGAAGCCTCAAACCCCAAAGCGAGTGACTGGGTGGGTGCGAAACCCTGAACCTTAAAAGGAATGGGTGGGTGCGAAACCCCAAACCTACAAAGGAGTGGGTGGGTGCGAAACCACAAACCTTGAACGGAGTGGGTGGGTGCAAAACCCTGAACCCTAAAAGGAGTGCACGGGTGGGTGTGAAGCCATGAACCCTAACAGGAGTCGGTGGCTACCAAACCTTCATACCCTGATACAAGGAACGGGTGGGTGCGAAACCCTGAACCCTACATAAAAGGAGTGGGTGGGTGCGAAGCCCCAAGCCCTAAAAGCAATGAATGCATGGGTGCGAAACCCTATACAAACCTTAAACGAAATGGGTGGGTGCGAAACCTTAAACGCTCAAAGGAGTGAGTGGCTGCGAAACTCCAAACCCAGGTGGCCGCGAGCCACAGGCCGCGTGGCCGCGGTCGATGGCGTCAGACATTTTGTTTTGTTTTCACTGTTTAGATTTAAGTTTAGATGAGTCTCCGCCGCTTTCTGAAATCCACAGCTACTCCAAACGGTTCAGACCTGCTCACATCTGTTTTATGTGTGACATTCCGAAGAAAGAAGCCATCTTGCTAGACACCGAAAGAAGACAGCAACGCCCACAGTACGATATTCTAGTTGCTATGATTCAATATGTCATGTGATTGCTCGTAATGTGCTTCGACGGCAAAGTTCTCTAGAGATGTTTGAGGTTTGTGACCAGTGGCTTTTGGGGAAGTTTAGCTGTGCAGCAGTTTCATGCGAATCCAATCGTGTTTGTTTAAGCATCAACTTGAAATCAAAGGTGAAGCAAGCGGCTTGCATCGATGTTGGAGCGGGGCCGTGAATGCTTGACGGCATCTCGATGGGCCTTTGCATAAGCCCATGAAGACGCAATGCACCACGTTAATGCCAATGGTTGTTTCAACCGTGTGTGCTTCGGATGTTGTGATAGTATAACACAGTTCGGGTTACATCCATCGACTATTCATACTCTGCAGAATCAACTTTCGGTTTCCAGTTGCGGGCAGGGCCAGTAAAGCGTGTTAGTTGCAGCCGGATGTAAGTTCAGATGAGAATTTGTCGGACTGTTCGAAACGATACCGCTTTGCTTCATGGTCGGCGATGGTCCACTATGGCTGCACATGGTCAATGCCATGTTTGCACGCAGGCCGGCGCACTTCAGGGCAGGGGGCTTCTGAACATTACTCACTTCCCGTCAAGCACCGAAGTCGAGGACTGAAGTGGAGCCGAACATTGAGTTGGGATACCGCATGTGCTTGAAGCGTGTGCATTGTAACACGTTTTTTGTTACACTGACAGTTTACCATTTGTGTTGGAGTCTGCAGTAAACGAAGGGCCAGTGGCTCACCCGGCAGGACATGTTCGATTTGTTTCGTTGAGCTGCTCATGCAAACTCTACGGAGAGTGATTCTCTTGTCTCAAACTTGCTGTGGCTTTGTCATTGTCAGGCTTGACTGGCTGGATCACAGGCTGGACGGCAGTGATGGCAGCGCCCAGCAATTTCTGCACCGTCGCAACCGCTTGCAACTCAAGCAAGGGCACCGACCATGGAAAAGGGGTTGTTGAATGTCACTTCTGGAAGGGTCTTGACTGCTGCCTCTGAGTGAGCCTGTGCTGCTTGCCTTTTACTGTCAGCTCGCTTGACACCTTCGTGATGTCGACATATCAAGAAGAGCATTCCAAGCTTGAAAGCCATCCTTGTCTTGATGGTATACCCAAAGCAGTGGCCGAACGTGTTGACTGTCAGTTGCCTGGCTCACATGCTTCTCGCATGTCTGTGCGATCTTGCGAGAACTCGCAAGCCACTGAAGGCAAGCTTTGCCCCAAGCTTTCGCTGATTTACAAAACGACTGCCCAGGCTGATGTGGAAGGCTTCGCATGTCATGACGTGATTTGGGAGCGGTGGTCAGTGCCAGCTGGCAAAAGCAGCACGAGTGGCGATGTCCACGAGTACTCTACATCCGCTGACCCCAGTGGCCCAGCATGCCGTCATCGACGACCTCTGTGACGA